TAGATTAGTTCATAGCTGCTGAATTATTAGAACACGATAATTATACTTCACTGTGTTTGTCAAAAATACAACACAAATAATCATATATATAGAGAGAGAGAGATAGAGAGAGAGAGAGAGATACTTACTGATACAGATCATTATATTTCCGGATAAACCATTATTGAGTCACGTGACAGAAGGAATGGTGAACAAGTGCATAATATAAGTTATGGGGGAATCTAAAAATCACGTTTAATAGTTTATAGATTGTGCCCGATTTGGGGGAAAAGAAAAAGTATGCAGAATTGTTGGGGTGGGGATATTCTGAGACTGGTTACCCGACACCGACTAGTTTACTTTTTTAAGCTTTTTTTCATTCTTTTTATTACACTTTTTTAGGATCCAAGATTTGTCTGCGATTATATTATCATATTTTGTTCATCGTCCTTGAATTGTTTCAGTTTGTTTGAGAAATCCCACCTCGTTTAGTGAAACAATTGCCACATAAATTATACAAACTATGCACAAAATGTGACACGCACGTGGGGTGTATGTCTACAGCAATCAAATTCATTAAAACAAATTGCTGATTTTCAATTGATTCGCGGTTGCTTCTGATAGATTGATCCTTGCTGACGTCATCGTAGTGCGTCGTGTTGTTTTCAGTCTCTTGGTCGTTTGTGTTTGAGTAACTGCAAAATATTGAATATATGAAATAACGATCAAGCGAGAATAACTGAAGGAAACCCCCCGAAGAAAAGACCGAAAGACACAACTTTCTTGGCTTACACGTTGCTACGCGGTATACAGCCATAGCGGGCGAGATTCCACATTAGCGACGCGCTAGAGATGATCATAATGGCGGCACTCTTTGTTACGTAAACTTTTGAAATTTTCTTGAACGAAAACATTTTTTTGTTGTGCATGAATCAATTCTTAATCAATTGAAATGCTTTTCTGGAAACTTATTTGAACATTATTTCAAAAATGACACATATCTTGTTTTATTTGCCATTTTCCTTGGCATTTCTCTTATTCTGAATTAGGGGATAGAAAAAATATTCTATGGTTCTAAATTTTGTTTATGTGTTAGCTCAAAAGAAAGCTAAATGTGTCGTGTTTTGTCAACGATTTAAGGATGTATTTATCCATGTTTAGATGTGATGCAATTTATATTAGAAAAGTCGCATTTTGATAATTATTTCGAATTTGGGATTGTGAAAATCGCTGTTATTTATATACTTGTTTGGAAAGTGGCAAAAAATCATCATAATCGTCCTTAGAATAAACATAGTATGGGTCTTCATATACAATTTGCTAATGATAAGTTATTTTAACAAATAGTAATTCAAGCAAGGAAAATGCGCACAATAATTGTCTAACCTTTCTACAAAAACATATATCAAGTTAAATATCATTTAGATAATTTACTCTAATCGGTTCATCATCTGAAGGTGGAAGCGACAAAGCATATATCATTTACGTGCAGTGCATTTAGAAGGCCCCATTCCAAATTTGTATGTTGCCGCTGGTGGCGCTGTTTCCTGTTATACATATGAATAATTCTATCATTTACACTTTATTTTTATGTGAACAGTTATTTATTGCTATTTATCCCAAATGAAGACTTTCTCCGTCCTCTTAAGAATTATTCGAATCAATATTTTTTTGTCAAGGTATCATTATGACATACGATTTTAGGATAGTAGTATTTGATTGAAAGTGTTTGTATGCGCCTTGTTTTGTAAGCAATCTGATCAACCTGTAATTCATCTGTGCATAGCATGTTGTGAGATATGATCGCATAGTCGTTGTAGTAGCTGGCTAGCTGTGACAAATCAAAGTATCCTCGGGGGCGGACATCCGGGCATTTTCTACCGCCTGGCAACCCTCACGGTGAAAACAAAGACCGAAAACTCGCAGAAAACGGTACTTTGCGGTGGTTGATGAGAGTCCCCTGAACAGTGTAACAAGATTAGCCCTACGTGTGTAACATATATGAATTTGGTTGTTTCAGGATTACTTCAAAGTTGAGTTTGTGTTGTTTTCTCGAGTTTTCACCGGCTCCACCGGCATTCCACAGCAGCGCGCACAAAGCCCATAGAAATACGTGGTACAGTGGTGCGCGTCTTAGCAACGTAGAACGTCCGTGACGTAGCTCCGCCCCCGAGGATACATGTGTTCTTAAAGGTGCGCCATCTAGCGACGAAGCGCTTCTGTGACGTCAAAAGAAGGGTGTCAGTAATGTCTTTAAACATGGTAACTGTGTTTGGCTTTACAGTCGTTATTGACTGGCGACATCAAAGCAATATCGATGCTGAAAACTCGGTGGGATGTGAACTGCCTTCCGTTTATCTATTTACGCCACGGATGCCTTAACAGAGGATAACGTAACTCGTAATAAGAGTGGTCACGTGACTTTTATTCCAACTATTAACTATTGGGATAATAATGTTTGATTCGAACTAGAGGTATAAATATATAATTAATTTGGGAACGCCTCATCCAGTGTAGTCTACCTTCGCTTGACGTCACTGCTGCACTAATGTGAGATGTATACGAGGGTGGCAGCAGTTTGGGGCGTAGTGCTCACCGATGTGTCGATATATGGTTGAATGAGAAGTGCCAGAGTGCATGGGATTGGATCTCGTTTGTTCATCTTTTGTGTTCCAGCAGAGCTATGTGTTTTAGTTATGATAGTACTATGTGACGTACTCGTCTACATATTTACTGTGACTTGACAAATGGCAGATATGTAAAGCTTTGAGTTAATTTTCTGCATCAAATTTTATAAATGATGTATTTTTTTGAAATACTAAAGGTTTGAAACAATAAAAGTTGTCTTGTAAAAAAAACACGTAACACTGTGAACTAGTACATTGTAGAATCTATGGGTTGAAAGAGGTAATGTGAGTAGGCTTTGAATATGTCAAGATGTTAGCATGTTGTATAATTTTGTTTAAATTTACATGTTGATCAAAACATGTACACTGTGATACTTTTAACGTTGAATAAAACGATATTTTGGCGCTCGCGCTTCGAATTACCTATGTAAATATAAGCCCAAGTTGCACGCGTACTAACGTTTTCATTATTTATTTTAACAATTACTGCCATCGTGACAAAACAAGACTTTTAATTTACGATATATTTTACTTGTAATCAAAAGTATGCTCAAACATTCTTCACATTGTCCCTTTAAGAACGCCTGAATGTTATTCGAAAATGACTCATTTTCAACTTAAACTTAATAACATACTGCCTTCAAGTTTACGTTATGAGAGCGCTACATTCTTACCCATCGATCAAGACCATCATCTAATTCAGTTTGTTGCACTTTGTAAACTAATTTCTGCCCAAGCCAAAATCTATCGCTTTATTTGTGACTCAAAACAAAGGAAACTAAAGTTGAAATTTGTGAAACCACGATTAGCTAAAACGTGAATCTTGACATGCGCCCTCATTTAGAAAGAGACATTATTAGTAATGCTATTTTTCCAGCTAGGCTCGCAGGAGGGCGTACATACTTGAATTCATTTTACTATATCTAACTCGCTTTATTTACTTTCAGCTACATTTTGTATTTGCATAAGACAGTTATTACCACACTATTGTAATGAAAAAACATATACTGGTAACTGGGTCTTCACAATACGGCGTTTTAGTTCGTTGAATGTACGGTTGGTTAATAAAGCGGTGTTTTTTCAGGGTACATTGCGAAACTTATATATATTTATTACATTTATTACCTGCTTTCGGGAGAGAACTGACCTTTGCATCTTTCCATTTTATTTATAAAAAATTAAACATGACCATTTCCGCATTATGCGTGAAATCAAACATAAAAACAGAATAAACAAAGATCAAAGGTCATAGCGTTGTAGTGGCGCCAGAACATCACGCGAGATTCGTCAATCGCGAAAGTATTTTTGGAGGGTATTTCTACGCTTAAAGGTAGTTGTTGTTCTGCGCATGTGCGACATTTGTGTTGATGAACATTGATTTTCCCACAACCTAATGCGCTCTTCTAATTGAATTGAAATATGAGGTTTGACCTGGGCGTGACTTGCACTAATTACCACCGGTGACTCCTTCGATACCTTCCAATAACATGAAAATTACCTAATTAAAACTTAGTAACGTCTCAGTTTGTACTCGTTGGTCTGAGCAACAGTCAAAGTCGCCATCTTTGTTTATATGAGACCCATATATCTCGCGCATGCGTGGCGCGACGATTACCGCCCTTTAATAATCTGCTATACGTATTTTATGATGGTCGGTTTTGATGAAGTTATCTCAACACCATATTTATCTCTCAAAGATGTTGACATTGAATTATAAAATCAGAAATCAAAGTTTGAAAATAATCATTCGTTTTTTGCGGTAGACGTTCGATCCACGTCTTTCGCACATTACACGAGATCTCGCAGTGAACGGAAAATCATATTGAACAATATTTATTGTACACAACCTACATTTTTACCTCTGCAGTATTATAGAATGCAGACACAGAGGTTATTACAGAAAACTCCAAGTTATTAGACCGCGGTGAAATGAGATGTGATCATTATGTAATTACAAATGCTATTGGGCGTGCAAATAATATAATTAGTTGTAATTATGAATTGTGTAATAAATATTGTATACATTGATATACGGAACTACGACAAAATACTACAAGCAGAGCTCCCACTGGGCATTCTAATTTAGGTGATAACACCATGTTTTCACTTTATTTTCAGAAGAAAGTGAAATTCAATTCAATTAATGTAGACAATAAAACTAATTATTGAGAATGATCTTTATATGAAAGCATGGCAGTATGATAGAAATGTCAAACGTCTAATAGAAAATACAATAATCCAAGGTTCAGTGGTTCACGTTATTTTAAATGAATTTAAGAGATGAAGTCGTTGATGGCGTATACAATGAGATAATGACGCTATACAACAGAATGAATATGTAATATGGTGCTGCCATGGAAACGATGACCAACATCATTACCTGTTCATTATCATTATCGATGCACCCTCCATTTACAGCATTGGACTGGTGGTGGAGACATTTACTCATCATCTTGAAGGATGGCGTCACTGGTATTGGTTGTAATCGTGACATTAGCATGCATTCAAGTTCAAGTGAAAGCTTGTAAGTCTTATATCGTCGTTGACGCGACATTTCTAGTAATTTTATTCTATCTGTATTGTTTTATTCCATCTCAAACTTGAGCGGTTAGTTCACCCTCGCGTGACATTTGTAAGGCTAGTCTTTTATATTTCACTTTTATAAAAATAACAATTTCTCGAACCTTTCAAGGATTGACATAAAAATATAAAATGGCTGACTAGCTTTGCTACTTAGTATCTTCTGGTATCACGTGGTCGATTGGGTTCAAGTTGATTGCGTGAAGACGCGATGTTCATCTGGTCATCCTCTATTACTGACGAATCTCAGCTTCTTTTTAGTGCACATCCCAGAAATAGCTCCTAGACGCTTTGACCTTTTGTTTTGAAATTTTCACAAATGATTGACAATGTGTGTATCTTCAAAACGCCGTCGGGGCATTGTTTTTGGTTGAACAGTGTTACTACAATCGTACGGACAACTGCCAGGGTGTTAATAAACCATATTTTACGGGAAACAGAAGCATGGTTTAGAAGCTATTTTTTTTAAAATCACTTTTGACCCAAACAGCATATTTTTGTGCATATTTCAAACTACAGTGTTCATAAAAAAAATACTAACATAATTTTAAAAATTCATACAATAAGATTTCTGAAAATATATAGTTTTGTGGACAAGGGAGGTCATCTTGGTTTCCTAATTAACTAATTAAAATACCTGTCAGGTAAACTGCATCTCTACCTTAATATGCGCATCATACAAATTGTGGCCATCTTAATCGGTGAAATACCTTGAACCCCAATCGATGTCACGGTGCCCCACCAATCAACATAATGTACGATTTCAATTGTCGTACAAATACATTCATCGTTTCAAATTCTACTTTCGATATCTTGTGTGTGGTGACTAACGGATATATATATGTTTCATTTCACCTTATTACAAGACATCATGTCATCATTTGACATCGATTTTATCGTGTCTTTCTACTTTAATAACTGTTCCCAATCACCTTACGATCTATATTGTTTGTAGAACACTGTAATATTCATTTTAATTATCTAAGCATGACCAAGCATTATTGTGTATTATTAATTAGTTACACCATGAATAATACATGTATTATGTTTTCAGATTATAACCGTTCACATCACCATAGCAACAATTCAATGTTATTTGGTGCATTCAAAAAGGTCATTAAACAGCATTGACATTCATTGACACATTTGAAACAACAGAGAAGAAACAAAGTGTGCGTTTTGATAAATGACATGAGCTTCGAGTATAGCTGAAAAACAAATTCATTTGAAAGTAGATCAACAGTGTGTGTGGGGGGCAGTATCAGTAAAATAAAAACACTCCATAACAGAGCTTATAGTATGTTGTGGATAGACATATATCGTGGGAATACATCGAAATGGGGAACATGAAACCGAACTATATATTCTTGATATTTCACTGAGCTATATTAATACAAGGCGATCGACAGTCAAAGAGTTCCCAAGCGCGTTTCCATGGCTACAACGTTATATAGTGGAAATGGATACAGACTAATTGATTTTGTGGCCTAATAGTCTTACAAGAAGAGTTATTTAAGCCCGCTTTTCATATCAATGATATGACAATGGCAACAGCAATAATTACCATAACACTAACTTAATTAATAATACAAAGGAAGTTCAGTAAAACACATTTGTTGATATTGAAATGGAACTTTTGGTTGAACATTGTTGTTGAAACGTGTCATGATTGGGTACAAAGAAGAAATAGAGAATTTAAAACTGTAATAACTTAAAGAAAACAGATAGTAGGTAAAAAAAAAAAAGTATGAAAAATATCTGCCAGTCAAGGTGAGTTAGTATGGCACACATATTTAGATAATAAGTTTCATGTCCAAAACTTACTAAAAACAAGTTGACACTAATGTAAAACTATATGAGGGTAGATCCATTCAGGAGTTTTGGTCCCTTTGAAAAGGCACTAATTTAAAAAACATATTTTATAGTGATCCTAAACCAAGAAATTAAGCTAATACTTGAAAAGGGTAAAGTCGGCGTTAAGTGTCGCATTGAGTTCAGTTATAGGTAAATATACAATAGGATATTCTTGGTGAAATACAATGGGCGTTCAGAGCGTAAAATTGACCAAATTTTTAATTCTAAAA